ATCACTTGAAAAAAACACGGGGGTGCTTAACTTTTTTCCAGGTGTATACATGCATGCAATATGAAAAAAAGATGAGCACATTTAGCAAATACTTAAGAGAAGTTACACAATGACACTTGACCAAGAATGGAAATGTACATGTTAAGCATAAACTAAGCTGCATTCCAAGTGATATTGGGAATCAACTGCTTATTTTATCTATATAAATAGACATAACCATAGCAGAGAGAAAGAGGAATTAGAAAGATAATCAGAGATATTTGGTGAAATTTTGACTGCAAGAAGGATGAGGAGAAATTCAGGTAAACAGGCTGCCAATTTACCGTCTTCGATCATAACCAATTATTAAATTAGTTTTAGTTCCGAGAATTATGACGAGCCAACAAAATTCATTCAATGAAGTGACAGATCTACTTGTGAGTTGGACATGTAAAATATTTTGAAAATTGTAAGAATACCAAAGAAATTTGTATAAAAACCCATATTTTGGGCTAAAAGTCAGTTCTCCAGTAACACTTAAGAAGCCAGTAGTCCTGCTGACAGTCTGTCCTGAACCAATACCATTGATGAAGATTTCAACTTTAACAAATATTGAAAACCTGTCATGCTCATGCTCCATGTAAGTTAACAATTGCTATCTCTCTCTCTCAGTTAAACAATATAATTAGAAATTGGATGTAAAGTTTATACAGTAAACTATGTCTGAGCATATTTCACTTAATATGTTAACTGATAACTTATTGGTTGTATTAAGAAATCTAATGGGTATTACTGAAAGTTTAATTGAGGTACAGTTATCTGCTCAGACTGAAGAATTTATAATTTTATCAGTGAAGCTTTTCAAGATAGTTTTGGTATTCTCCCAAGTATCTTAATATATTGAATTAAAGTGTTCTTTGTGTTTTGAATCTCAGTCTCCAAGTCAATTCTTTATTCTAACTGTAAACTTCCTTGAGTTAGTGACATGTGTACTCCACTCCTAACTGTAAACCTGGATTTTAAACAAATCTATTGATAACTAGATTTACGTTGAACTCCAAATGATTAGCCTACTCAGCATCCTGTTATATCTGCAACCATAGGCACTTCAATGAATATTACAGAATGTGTTCCACATGCTGTTCTTGTAACTTGAAACAAGTTTGGATTAACTCGATCTTCTTATGTTTTGACAGCACCTTAATCAGTCATGTATTTGAAATTAAGAAAAGCTGCAAATCACCTATAGTTCCAGACTTTTCGAACACTATATATTGTAATATTTGCTTGCCTCTATGTTAGTTACCTTAATTCTATTAAGATAAAAAAAAAATGCTGTCATCTACTACTTAAATATATTTAATCTTTTTTGTAATTTCAAGTATACTGATTCTAGTATATTATGTAGTTTCCAAATTTAAAGCTTACACAGAAAAACCTTATTTAACTTCAAATAATCTGAGTAAAATGTATAGTAATGAATACCTCTTATAATCATAATAAAACAATTAAAAATGAAGTTTTTCAAATAATTTTAGAAAAATGTCTGGTAAAGTTGATGATGATGAAGAGGGCCACTTTGAGACTAATAAACTTTAGAGGTGGCTTTAATGTGTAGCAGAGAAAATTACATAACAAGTTCAAGACAGTAACAAATGTACAATGTGTTGACGAGGTTAGTAAAACCATATCCAAATATTGTACATCTGTTACTGTGTTAAACTTATAATAATTTCTTTTCATTACACATTCAAACCATCTTTAAATTTTATTAATGTCTAGTAATGCACATTTTTTAATATAACAATGCAAAAACACTCTTAAAAAACAAAAAAATTGCAGATACAGCAAAGATAATCCAATTATTAATTCTTGAATGACAACAATAAGATAATGTTTAGTTGATTTCATTAAATTCTGGTATTGTAACATACTTTCAGATCATGAAGTTTGTAAGGAGTACAATGAAGAATGAGCAACACAATATTCAGTTATTCATGTGAAAATATATAGTTTTAAATTAACTTTAAGTATACATCTGTTGTGCAACTTCCATATTATGTTTGACACTAACCCTCTGCATACCTTTAAAAACAATATATGGCGTAGCAAAGAACCTGTTAAACACAAAACAGAAGGTCCAACTTCCAGTTCCACTTCAATAATATCTGGAAGCAAGGTTGTTGGATCAAAATCTTCTGTGGATGGTGTCCTTTGGTTGGGCTTACTGTGAGCTGCACTAGGCCTGATGGGAGAGAGTAGTATTTCCTCCCTCTCCGGAGTGGTAACGTCGAGATCGTAGTGGTGTTTCAATAGGGGAGGTACAGGATAGTAGGTGTATGTGATGCTGAGAGCAAGAATTGGTACTGACCAGCAGTCTATCCATCTAGCACTAAATACAAACAGATTAGGTTTTTTTTTTACAAAGAACTAAGAAAGTCACTGTGTTGTGGTGTGCACTGTCACACTACAAGTTTCTTTTTGTAGAATGATTATCGAGTTTGTAATTTAGCAAAGTGTAATTTGTTATTGATTTGATGTGATCAGATATGCTTAAGCAAGGTATTCATCCATCTGCATTTGTATTAACCCTATGTACATGGAAGGGAGGTCAAAATGTGCGTGCTACAACCTTTTACAGAGCACCATTAACATGGTATTAAGTAGTTGATATTAGTTTTCCATTTTATCCTACATTGCTGACAGTTTGCAATCTTACAGAGTAACAATGGGTAAATATCGAATCAAAGTTTTAAATCTTGGTTATATCAACTTTGTTTCAAATTACATTGGCTTACAAAATGTTCAGACATATTTAAACCATTTACAATAAGTTTTAAAACACTTCTTACTTTTCAATTACCTGAAGAAGCTGGTATATATTTAAAGTATATAAACAATCAATATTCAAATATTGTTTACAGCAACAGAAGAATATGTCCAAACTTGCCTGACATTTAATATCATCACAACTTTGAAATGAGTGCTTCTCATAAGTCAATATCTTTTTGTATTGTACGATCATTTTCATCCTGTGTGCTTAACTTATTACAAAAAACAACAAAAGATCATAAGGTAATTAATTAGCATTAGTACTAGACATTCATCAAAGACCTGTATAAATATAGGTTCACTGTGGTTAGAGAATAAAAACAACACATGGCTAACCCCTTTCAACTTATATGCTCGGTAAAACATGTTTCTTCTTTATAAGCGTGTTTTAATTATTCTTTTTTCTACTTGAAGATGTTCTCCATAAGGATAAGCATTCTTTTTTAACACAAAATTCATCTGTTCTTGTTATTTTTGAAGCACAAAGTTACATAATGTGTTATATTTGTGCTATGCTCACCACAGGTATTGAAACATTATAAGCATTCATACTTACCGCTGAGCCACTGTTGGGTTTAACTAGTTCTAGTTCTATAAGAAATCAGCTGGATCCGCTTATACGTAACTAATAGTTTGTCATTAAACACTTATTTGATACCAGTTATCAACACTTAGTGTTAAAGGATAGTAAGTACCAGATACAATATACATAAATACTGAGGAAATTGTAGATGTGAAGTTCAGAGGTTCTAGAAGTTATACAAGTGCAACATGAAGCCTGTACAGTGGACAAAAGTATTTTTATTCTTCAAATGAACATCACCTTGTACTTCAACTTGTCAGTGTCTAAGCCAGAACTTATGCTGTCAGTTCTTGAGTGCAAAAGCTTTTGTAACTCATCTGATTTTTTGTGTGCAACAAACTTGTATGTTTTAATAAATGCTTGCCAAATTTCATGAAGACGAGCATAATAAATTTAGAATTATAGCCAACATTCCTTCTCCAATGTGGGGTTGGTCATCGGACTGATCACGTGCACACTTAGTTAACAATGTAAAATTTAGTAAAGCAGAAGATGACATGTAAATAAACATCTATGACAGCTAATATGTCATGAATTTTTAATTATAGCATTTGGACATATCCTCAGAATAAAGAAAAGGTATGTTCCATTCTTAGAGTACATTGGAAATAATTAACTCATGACAATCAATGTAACAAAAAAACCTTCATCTTATGTTTCTACTGATGTCCTTCATCAGAAACACCAATGTGTAGAAACACAGTACCATATAAATATCATAAGCTGTGATTAATAATTTGTGAGAAACTTCACCAACCTAGGTTGGGCAATATTTCTCCATTTCTTGCTGTCGTCTTCTGCTGTTTGCTTTATTGATCCATCTCTGTTTGTTAATTTAGCACACTTAGCTAAAAGTTGAGAGATGCTGTAGTTGCTGTCAGCTTCTGGTAAATATAATGACAAGTCAAGGCACTCACCCTATATCAATAGACAAAAACAAAACTTACTGTCATTATCAAAGTTCAGCATAATTTCAAAAAGCACTGGCATTTGCCTTGCAAAATAACATTTCTCAAGTTTACATAGCAATAGTGGCAATATTACAGCAAATAAATTACTCAAAATACAACACACACAATATTGGCAATGTTACAGCAAATAAAATACTCAAAATACCACACACCAATATTGACAATGTTACAGCATATAAAGTACTCAAAATACCACACACAATATGAGCAATATTACAGCATATAAAGTACTCAAAATACCACACACAATATGAGCAATATTACAGCATATAAAGTACTCAAAATACCACACACACTATGAGCAATATTACAGAAAATAAAGTACTCAAAATACCAAACACCAATATTGGCAATATTACAGCATATAAAGTACTCAAAATACCACACACACACACAATATCTGCAATATTACAGAAAATAAAGTACTCAAAATACCAAACACCAATATTG